CTTAGTACTGGGTGATTGTCCCTTAACTTTCTATGAATATCTGGGATTATTCAGACCACGAACAGATTTGGACAACTTACTATTCTTCGTAGCACAGCCGAGCAAGACTGCTTAGCAGTTGAGGGGATCCGGACCCCAGTATTATTTGGTTATGATATGCAGTCTGGCTGTAAACTAAGGTAAGAGAGGAACTTGCTGCTTTTGGAACTTGTCTGTGTTGATCAGAAAACAAAGCATTCCTACTCCTCCCCGTTTTAATCAAACCTCTGCATCAGCCAGCGAGCGCCTGTGAAAGCCACAGTGTGACCTGTTAGCACCAGTGACAGTACTTTTGTTTTCTAATTTTAATTTTCACAACCATAAACCATTTGTCGTGATTCAAAGGAAAACTGTTGCAATCATTTTTCTTATCAGACGTGGCAGGGTAAAAATCCCAAGGCTTTTATAGGTCTTAAGGTTGCACAGCACTTGAGTTCACAGTAAAAATTCTTTGCTTGAAAGTCCTTCCTGTATTTCTGAATTTTAATATATGTAGTGCAACAAACCCAGTGAGAAGCCTGAATGTGATCTCTGTTTTTATCTTTTTAGTATTAAGCGTATATAGAGTGTAAAATATCAAACAGCCCTGCATGGCTTATTATAAAGACACCAGCTCTTACCCTCATTTCCCCCACTCTGCAGGTGATCACCTGCAACTCCCGTAGCTGAGTTTTTGGAAATTTACTCCCAAATCTGTCAATAACCTATATGTAATACTATTTCCTCACACTTTGGTTTTATGAATTGTTGAGTTCCTACTGTGGAAGGCAAGGATTTGGCTCTTTCCCCTTTCTTCCCCTACCCTGCCATCCAGTCACTTCCCATCCCTACTTCCCCCCAGGGTAATTACATCATTGTTTTGGTTAGACCAACAGATACTATTTATATTATTGGTTCTGATCCCCTTAGACCAGAATTTCTCAGAGGGTGTTCCTTGGATTACATTTCTAAAGAGTCAGTAGGGCTATGTCTGTGGTCCAATTAATATGTTTGAGGAACACCAAATTAAAGTTAAAAACACGATTCCTTACTGTAAGGACTTCTCAGAGACCTTATATGCCAGTGTGCTGCAGGAGGGGCATGGGCATGCAATATTTCCCAAACTTTTGGCCACAGAACTCTTCTTGTACAGAGCCTCTCAGTGGAACACAGTTTGGGAAACATTGTTTTGTTTCTCCCTGGCCAACCAGGATTTCTCAGAGTTAGAGACACTTTGGCTTCTGTCATATAATGTTTGGAGAGAGAGAAAATGAAGCAACTGGAGAGGGCATGCGTGTTGTTGAGGGCTGTGAGAACTGTTGGAATGAACAACAGTCCCATTCCATCGACCTTTTTTTCCTTCCCCAAAGACTGCCCAAAGCCATCATGTGCCAGCTCGCAGTGCAGAAAGTGAAAAGCCTCCTGAAGGGCCAAGGCTTCCCAGATTATGTGGCCCCTTTTGGAAATTCTCAGGCCCAGGATGTGCTGGACTGGGTACCGGTCCACTTCATCACCCAGGCATCCCACATGAAGGTAAAGGGGAAGCTGAAGGCCACGTGCCAGTGGTCTCTCCTCCTCCCACTGCTCCTCCGCCCTGTGGGGATGTAGAGGCAGAGGCAGCTGGGGGAGCCACCTGTTGAGGCCGATGGCTCTGGGTAGGAACTCGGGCTTTGTTATCAGATGGGCCTGGGTCTTGAAAACTGATTTTGCGCTTTGTTGGCCCTCTTGCCTTTGAGCGTTTGAGCCTGTTTCCTCATCTTTGAAATAGGGAGTGAGAGCTATATAGTATCAGCCTCGTGGGGTTGTTGAGTTAAACAAGGTAACATTTGTGGGGCCTAGTGGTTGCTCCAAACATGGGGACTCACCACCATCCTGACTGTTCCATGATCATTGTTGGTGTGACATGAGGCATCATGATAGGACAGTGTGTGAGGACTGTGGCAGAAAGTGAGACTCCTCCTGTCCACATCACTGCCCCAGCCATTGTTCCCTGGTCTATAAAGGCAGCCCGCATGTGAGAGCTTTCAATTCCAAAGTTCCCCAAAGAGTTTAATGGAAGTTGACATCCTACAAAAGAGGTTCCTGATCACACGTGGTTCCTCTGCCCACCTTTTTCTTTTGTCTCAGCCGTCAGAGTGTGGGCTGGTCCCCGTCACTGGAGGCGTGCTCTCCATCTTATCCTTTAATTGCCCAGCTTTTGTGTCGCAGCTTCTCAGGCCTCTCAGTATCTGCTTAGCATATTTATAGCAGGCGGACAATGGGGGTGAGCACCCGCTCTCCAGCTCTGATCCGGCCCTCCTCCGGAGTCCCCAGCAGAGAACCAGTATTACTCAGTCCCTGCTGTTCAGCTGCTCAGTCTTGGCTCAACACTGCCACCTCAGTGAACCAGCCACATTGCTTCTGGCTTCTCAGAGATAGGTTAAGACATTGTTACTACCCCCTCAGAAGGGAAGACAGGTTGGGAGGAGAGGCAGTGCGGACATTCGCATTTTCAGGGTCTGTGCGGGGGCAGGGAGCTCAGAGGGCCCGGGGCGGGTTTTGTACCTACCTTGCGGGGAACTCTGGTGGCAGCAGACCCGCACACAGGTGCCAGGCCCAGCTTCCCTGGGCTGCTTGTTGCCTCTTCTCCAGCCTGCAGCCTTCCTAAGAGGCAGTTCCCAGCTAAGGAGTTCCACCAGTGCCTTTTTGGCAGCCACCAAATTTAGCAGCCTTGCTTGCTAGCTTTTCATGCCCTGAAGAGGCATATTTTAAAAAGCTTGTTGTTGTGGGGAAATTTCAAACAGACACAGAAGTAGAGTATTACAGTGGAATTCCTTCTACCTGTTGTGCTGCTTCAGCGGTGCTCACATTTGCCAACAAACGCGAAGGCAGGGAAAGGGTTGGGAAGGTCCCCTCGGCCGCTCTTCCCTGGGGCAGAGGCCTCAGGCCCGCTCCCAGGTCTCCAGCCTGCGCTCACGCGCGGAGGCGCTGCTCTCGGCTCACACGGAGAGTTAGTATCTTTGACAACTTACAGACTTGGCTGTGTACCGCCGCGTAACAGCTTAATCACCAAGTGATGAAATTAGAGAAAGCATTTACATTTCCTCTGGGTGCATTTTAACGTGATACGCAATTAGGTTTAATTTCTGTGACTCCTGCCATCCCCCCCGCCCCCATGCCGGCTTCTCCCCTCAAGAATCTCTGAGCTGGATGAAGTTGGGGCCCAAGGTTCCATGGTTTGGTGTTGGGATCGCCACAACTTCCAAAAGTAATGCTGGCCTCTAGAAACAGGAGACGTTGGAAAAATGCTGTTTTCGGTGTTAAAATATTTCTGGAGCATCGAGTACTTTAAAATATGTGCTCTCATCTGTTTTTATCTGAACTTCTAGAGTCTCTTCAGTGTCTTGTTCAGAACATTTTGTATTATGTGAAACATTTTATAATTAAAACTCTGAACTGCAGATTAAGTTTGACATGAGGTTGTGTAATGTTCAGATTGATTAATGGCATTTTGTTGTGCAGGATTCTTGCCAGCTCCCAGTGGCTTTGGTGATAGAAGTGAAGTGGACTAAATACGGGTCCTTACTGAACCCACAGGCTAAAATAGTAAACGTGACTGCAAGTCTCCTCTCATCCTCCTTTCCTGAGGTAGGTCTAACTTGGGTTTCAAGGTGTAGGTTAAGACATAAGTCCAGACAAAACTCAAGTGTGATAGTGAAATTTATTTTGTGAAAAAATTGAAATTTAATCTGAATTCTAAAAACAATTCAGCATTTTCTTTTATTAGAGAAAACCCACTGACAACAGTTGAATTGACACTAGCATTCTTGTTTAGATTTGATCTTTAAAATTCTTTGAAAATGGAGTTGTGGCCAACATTGGTGGGTTAGGACAACCTAGGTAAAAACTCTCTCACCCAAGTGAGCGGCTGAGGAGGCCTCCGCATGCCTAGGAGATGCACTGACCGCGTTGGGGTGTGAGGAAGGTTCCGGAACGCGGCCTGTCCCAGCTTTGTTATCCCGAGCACAGGAGCACACACTGGAAGGCAGGGCTTGCAACACTCTTTTTATTACAGACCAACTCAGGAAATGAGAGGACGGTTCTCATTTCCACTGCGGTTGCTTTTGTGGATGCATCTGCACCTGCGGAGGCAGGCTTCAGAGCTCGGCCAACCATCGATGCCAGGCTGCCGTTTAATTTCTTCTTTCCGTTTGTTTGACGTAAGTTGTTAATTACCTCTAGAATCGAGTGCTCTGGGGCCCGGGCTCCCTTGGAGACATCCTGGTATTCTACCTCTGACCCGTGGGGTTACTCTCAGACCACACACTTCCCCTCTTCACTCACTCCCCTCCTTTTGGAAATTTTATTCTCCTTGGTTTGACCTTAGAATGGGGCACCATCTGGTCTTGGTGATTTCCAGTATTGTCAGCCACGTAGGTCATGTGCGGAAACCAAATTGCACCTTTGGGAAGATTGTAAAGGGGACAGACCCAGAAGTAGCACAGGTGTTGAGGGTTTATCCAGTTTATGCATCCTCTTTTTCAATGTGAGTTCTTTTTAAAATACTCATTGTAGTTCAGGTTTTCTTTCCTTTTCAGGCCCCTTGGGAATGAATACAAAAATAGCAAAGTATTGTATATAAAAATCATGTGTGCGAGTAGAGTACTCGGCCTCATGAGGGGATCTTCCCCCAGTGTCATCTTCATTACATGGAGTCTTGGGTCTAATTGCTGTTTCGGTGGCAGGCACTGGAGCTCTCCATCTCGTGGGTTGTATGGGATGCCACAGAGCAGTTCCAAGCAGTTGATGCTGGAAAGAATAGAGTAGGAGGGCCCGAGGGAAGGAGTTTCTTTTATACGTTAATTGTACAGTAATTGAGAAAAATGTTGTCGGGTGGCAGAACAAGGTAGAGCCAGTTAGAAGCTGGAGGCTGCAGAGGAGGGGGCTGGGTACCTGAGAACCACCTCTCTGGGGGAATCTGCACGAAGAGGAGCTATTGAGACCAGCTTAAGAAAATAAGACTTTTCTAGAATGGGCTAGTAGCTAAGGTAGCTTCCTTTTTTTCTTTTGTCTTTCAGAGTGCTCATATGAAATGATGCACTGGTTCCTCATACATGCGAAATGTGAAAAGTACATTTGATGAGATTAAATTTTATATACAACTAGTAGTTGTCCAACTTTGTCCTTCATTTTAAGCAAGAGTCAAGTGTTTAACATGAGAAAATATAGTTTGTGATAACATTGTGATAGGGGGTGAGAATGGGATGGGGAAGCTCTTGGTCACGCCAAGAAAGAGCGAGCCTTCCCACAGACTTTCCTCCTCAGCCCCCCAGAATCTGAGCTGGGTGGGGGTGAGGCAAAGGCATCAAACCAAACCTCTCCCTGAAACGGCCCCAGGAGGGACAGCTGTCTTTCTTGTCAGCGGCACAAGCCTGTGAGGCAAGGGTCTTCTCTTCGGGATGGAGCAGGCGCGTGTCTAGTTGACCTCAGCAAGAAGTCCATGCTGTTTCAGTAGCTTGTTCAGCCTTTCAATTTCTCGTTCCTGTCATTACAAAAGCGGATAGCTCAGTTTACCTTCTGCACCTCGCCAGGGATGTGGGAATCATTCAGTGGGCCCCAAGGGCACAAAGCTGAATGAACGCTACGCTCCCCGTGGAGTCTGCCAGCAGAGCCCGCTGCGGTCAGCGGGGGTCTAGTGGGTGCTGGAGTGACAAGAGGTCCTCAGTGGAGGGGTACCTGGCACAGCTCGGGGGAAGGAGGCGATGCTAATCTGCAAGAACAAGGAAGACTGAGCCAAGGGCAGCGTCCGAGCAAGGGCCTGGTAGGGAGAAGCACCGTACTGAAGGCAAACAGATGGCATTTGCCCAAAAGTGTCTTCTTACCTTCTCAGAGCAGCTGAATTCAAGGTGTTGGATCTTGGCGGCCAACTGTATATTCATCTGTTTTAACCTCAGCAGTTGCCGTTCTGAACGTGTCTTAACTGAGATAATTATTCCTGTAAAATAATTGAGGTTCTCAGTGATACAGGTTTCTAATTAAACCACTTGAAAAAAACCTCTGTCTTCCTTCTAAGTGTATACAGTTGGGAAGAATGGTGGCAGACAAAACAGTCCGTCACTTAAAGGCATCAGAACCAGGAAGGTCAGATTTTTAATTTCTGAGCTGCTCATTAACCATTTGTGAACTATTTCCCTTCAGGTTGCATGGACTAAGAAATCCTTTATAGTCACTTGACCAGATGAGTGTTCAGCTTCTTCATACAGAGCTTGTTCACGACAGAGGCTTAGCGCTTAGCAGCACCGTCCATAAAAGCCACGGAAGAGCAAGGCTGGAAAGGCTCAAGCTTAGCCTTGGGATTGTCACTTTCCCAGTTTTCTGCCTCCCACAGCTATGGCCAGTTCAGCTGTCAGGCGATCAACTAAGTCTTGGCCAACAGAGGGGTCATCAGCCTTATCTGATGGCTCCCCAATGCCCACACCACTGTGGGGACGTGGCCGCATAAGACTGTGCAGCAATTGGGGATGCTCTGTGCCGTCCAAGTAAGAGTGACCATGTCTGGACTCAGTGGTCATGAAGCCCAGGAGCACTGGCCCCTTGTGCCCCGCATTCTTGGTTGTCTGAATCCAGCTGAAGCTTGGGCATTAGGCAGTCCTATGGCCTGCTACCATTCAGACAAAGAAAATGCACAAATCTCAGATGTTTGGTTTTATCTGCAAAGCAAATCTCACTATGGTGTGATAACGAGAGTAAAGGGTAGTAACTGCATTCATGAGTTGTTCACGGTCATGGTTTATCTACCTCCATGGTACATAATCTTTGCACAGAGTATTTTTTTGTTTGATGAATAATCAGCATAAGCATATTCAATAGTAAGTGAAAAGCTTCCTTTATTTCTTTTGACAGAGCCCAAATGAATACTCAATGGGCTTTCATCAGAAGATCTAAACTGGCTCCTAAAGCCAGGGGGAGCCCATGGTGCTCACAGGCAGAGCCCCTCACACAGCCCTGCATCGGAGATGTGACACTCGCCCTGCCAGTAGGGGAGACTGGGATAGAACTCACTGTGCTGCCAAGCGAAGGAGCTCTGTGTCAGAGGACAGGCCCGCCTCACTCACTCTCCGGGCAATGACAGAGCCTATCGTGCTGGGCCCTCGTCTAGGGATTCCCAAACCTGACTGGACACCCAAATCACCTGGTAGCGCTTCAAAAATAGACACCCTGTGAGGGTCTGTGCCAGACTTCCAGAAGCACTGGAGGTGATTCTGATGCGGTGGGTTCACAGACACATTGGAGCACCTCTGACTAGAGTTCCTGAGAGCTGAGCAGTTAACAGCAGAAACGTGGCTTCTCAGAAACGGAGCCTCCCTGCACCACTAGGGTGTGTGTGAGGAATGGAATCTTTACCTGAAGTACAGTAGAGCATGATTTCCCCAAGTGTGTTCTCTAGAGCCAAAGTCTACAACATGTTAACGGTGTTATTTCCCCGGTAGTGTCCAGTTGGTCAATTTGGGGAACTCAAGAGTTCTCAGGCTTCCTCATGCCAATAAGTGGTGCCCCTCCCAGGGGGATGGGGTTTGGTAGAACATTCTTCAGGAAACACCAAATTAAAAACAAAAGTGCTCTGGGAACCAAGCTGGAGGGGCTTAAAAGATTCGTCTGACCCTTTCTGTAAATACCTTCTAATAATCATGAAAACAAGGCCTAACGGAGAAAGGTAGTTCCTCTTAGAGCATGTGTAACTTGGTGTCAGTTTGCAGCCACAGAGGCGGTGCTGGGACGCCAAATCAGACCACTTCATTTATCTCTAGGAAATACTAGCCAGGAGGAGGAGGAGCCATGGTTCCCTCCCGGGCTCTGCCCAGCTGGCTGTCCCTCTGCAGCCTGGGGGTACGGGGGACATACCGTTGATGATCCGGGCCACCCGCCACAGCCGGAGCAGAATCAGCAGGCCGAGAGCCTCAAACTGGTGCTTCTGGAACAGGAGGACAAAGTCGAGGATGAAGGAAACCACCACCACAATGGCGTCCAGGATTTCAAACTTGTGGTGAAAGAACTCCAAGCGGAAGACAAATAATTTAAAAAAGATCTCCATCATAAAAAAGGTCAGGATGGCAAAGCTCATGTAGTGGAACACCTGGAGAAAAACAGGGGGGGCACAGTGAGAACAGATCCAGGGCTGGCCACGAGCTGTTAAAAGGATATAGCAGTCAGCCTGAAGAGATAGTGATCAGATTTAGTAGGACAGTTTGGACCCTGAACCAAATGGCTATGGTTGTGATAACACTGAATAAAAAAAAAAATCCATGAGTCCTTAGTGATACATACACATACAGGGAAAAAAGGAAAGCTCTTCTATATATATATATATATAAAACCAACAAAAAAAACCCACCTACCAGATGTGAAATGAATGATAGAAATCTCAGTTTGCATCTCCCAGTGTATTCACTGACACAGACAGTGACCATCAGGTGGATGCTAATTGGGGAAGAGGATCTTTGGACGGTAGTCCAGTGTCACTGTGCAGATTATTTCTAACTGCAAAGGGAAAGTGCCCCTGGACAGTGGAACAGCTCACATTTACTACCATCCGTGATCCCAGCGAGTATCACTGACCTCGATATGCCATGCTATAAAACAGCCCACCAGCCAAGCACTCTTGCTAACTGAGCCTCTAGACCTAACCTCTGGTGTACAGGCAATAAGGGAACAAGTTGAAGGACCTCTGGGGAAACAGACAAATCCAGAACGTGGGACATCCTATGAGATGACTGGCTGGACTCGGGGGGGGAAAAATGTGGAAGGACTCTCCTAGATTAAGAGCCTGAGGAGATATAACCAAGTATCGTATCAGAAGTCTGGATTCCAGTTTGAAAAAAAGAAAAAAGCATTATAACAGATATTCTTGGGACAAATGAGGAAATTTGAATATAAACTGGTTATTATGGAATTATTGATAATTTTTGAGGTGTGATAAGGTGATTACGGTTCCGTAGGAGAAAAGACCTTATTCTTAGGCATATTGAAGTATTTGTGTCCTGATGTCTAACTTTCAAATAGTCAAAAATACATGGGTGTGTTTGTGGATATATAGAGAGATTAAGCAAATGTAGTGAAAAGTATATTTGCCATTTTTCATAATAAAAAGTTGAGGGGAAAAAAAAGTTGAGGAAAAAGGCACAAGACAGTGAGGGGCACCTGGGTGGCTCAGTCGGTTAAGCATCTGCCTTCAGCTCAGGGCGTGATCCTGGGGTCCTGGGATCACACCTGGAGTTGGGCTCCCTGCTCAGTGGGGGAGTCTGCTTCTCCCTCTGCCTCTGCCCCTCCCCCCGCTTGTGTGTGCACGCGCTCTCTCGCAAATAAAAAAATCTTAAAAAGTACAGCAGGTATGTCACTGATGGTGTTAAAAGCAGAGGGAGAGGAAAAATATTCATCCATCTGTGGAAGGACTCGGGCTGGCCACAGAAGAAAAGCTAGCAGCTGCCTTGGGAAGGCTGGACAAATGTCTGGGATGGGCTCAGGCAGCAGCTGTGAATTGAAGAATAAACAGTGGGCAGATCTCCAGCACAGGGACCATGTCAGAATGTTGACAGGCCGAGAAATAGCCCGTCTGCCACTGAAGATGGGACAGTGTCACTGTCTTGGTTAGATTCTCCCACTTGAAGCAGTGACACGCCTCAGCTCAGTGGTCTAGCACCACTTGAGCTTCAAGCCATCAAGTGAAATGAGGTTTCCTGCTTATAGCAGATGCTTGTCTATAATTTGGAAAGAAGACATTTTCCCTGCTCTCTGGTTAAAAGCACCCAGTCAACTTAGTCTGTTAAGGACTTGCTACTCCCAGGAGGGTGCTATCTGCCCCTCTCTGCCCACCTCAGGAAAGGTGCAGGGAATGGTATTAAAGGGCTGCCAGCACCCTACCTTGGCGGCATAGTCATTCTTGTCAAGCTCGATGATCTTCAGGTCCAGAATGAGCTCAGCGAGCACCAGGAGGGCATCCAGAATGACCAGGCAAATGATGACAACCTGCAGACCAAGGGAAGGAGAAACCGTGAGACCTAAAACGTGACCCTCCTTCCATCTTTAAGGGCCAGAAGCATCTAGGGGAAACCACTGGGTGAAGATGCCAAGGATGGGAGGCCGCTGCCCACAGCCGCGCACCTTCAGGCCTGTCGGCCCCCCGGGCAGTGCCTGTCCTCCTAGAGCTGCTCTGCCTGGCTCACTGAGTGACAGTCACCACTGGTCTTTCGTATTCATTCACTGTCTCTCAGCATCTCTCAAGCCAAACTGCTAATTCCTAGATGGCAAAAAAAAATTTTTTTTTGTTTTAATTTTCCTATTTCTGGAGATTTTCTTGCCAGGGTACACCCAGAACAGATGCTCAATAGATAATTAAAAAGATCCGCCTCAGAGATCTGAGTCATGGAAGTCCCTCCAGGGACTGCCTGCCTTGAGGCAGTTGGATTAAGTGATATCCACTGTACAGACATCACAGCTTCTGTCTGGAACCGTCAGTCCCGGCCCCGGCTTGCGCGGGCTCATCAGGGGGTGCGGGGCGGCTGGAGTCAGGTTTCCTAGGGACCGAGGAGAGGTGTGAGAAAGACCATCTCGGGGGCTCTGCGACCTGCCAGTGGAGGAGGCTGGTGGGGACCAGGGTGCCAGGCGTGTGTGCTCTGACCGACGGGGGGCGGGGCCCACGGGGACAGAAGTGGTGGAGACGCTGGCGGGGGCTCTCATGGCAGGGTGGGGGTGATGGTGTTCGGTGATGGAAATGGCAGCAGTGCAAGGAACCCCTCCAACGGACACCCTGTGACCCCTCTCTTCCCTTGGGAATTCTGGCCCCCCATTGCCTCCCTCGGGGCCCTGCTTCCTACATCAGACGCACTCAGGTAGATTCTGCAAGTTAATCTGCCGTTTTCTCGGCAGCGCGCCTGCACTCTCAGGTTGAAACTGGACGGGCCTTGGTAAAAGTGGACTAGGAAACCTTCCGACCATTTCAGCCCGTAGCTAGTCACTTCAGTAATTCAAGCGTTTGAGGACGTGGTTTACTGTGAAAATTGCATGGCAAAGTAATGACGTTTTCACACATATCCAAATTCAGCAGCTCGATAAAGATTCAAGCCTCCGGCGGGTGGTTTTTCCTTTTTCTTTCTTTCTTCATCCTTGGTTTTATTTTAGAGCTAACGGGACGTGAGAGCTCATCTGGTCTAAAACCAAGGTACAGAGACATTAAAAACAGAGTGAATATTCAGCCATAAAAAGGAAGAAGCCCTGACACGCGCCACAGCGGGAATGCCCAGAGAAGCCACGATGCTGAGAAAAGCAGCCGGACACAGAGCCCGCACGGCGTCTGATTCCGCTCATATGAAGAGGCCAGAGAAGGCAAATCCATACACACAGAGCGGATCAGCGGTTCTCAGGGGCTGGGGGCCCATTGTTTGGTGGGTACCAGGTCTCCTTTCGGGGTGATGGAAGCATTCTGGAACGAGACAGTGGTGGTGGCTGAACAGCATGTGAAAGTGCCACATAAACGCCACTGAATTATTCACTTTACAATGACCAACTTTATGTGAATTCCTCCTCAAGAAGAGCAAGACAGACCGACCCCGGGTCACAAAACTATAGTGCTTAGGTCCCAGTCTTGGCCTCGGTCAGCTAATCCCCAGAACCTGAATTTGCCGCTGCACAAGGCAGTGCTATTTCTGAGGGGAGTCACGTCACAAAGAGAAACACCGAGAATTCAGGGAAGCTGGTTGATTCCACATCCAGATGGGGCAAAGAGGGCCGGGCCCAACTGGAGAATGCAGTGGTGGGGAGCGCCGGCTACAGGGCCGCCAGCCCTGGGCCAGCTCCCGCATTAGCCTCGACCCTGGGCACATCTCTCAAGACCGATGAGCCTCCGGTGTTAACGCTAAGCTTCAACGTCCTCTTGGAGAAAAGGGGGTTGACCTCATTTCCACCCTAGATTGACGGAACATGACATGAGGTAACATGTGAAGGGTACTTATTCCAGGGCCCCGTCATAGTGAGCAGGTAATGAAGTGAAGCTTCTTGACCTTCACGACTATCCTCCCCTGGCTCAGCTACTCTCTCCACCCATGGATTCCACAGAGGCCCAACACACTCTATTCTCTCCCTTGCTTGTACCATCCTATGTGAGAAGTGATGGCAATTAACTATATATCATGTCACCTAGGCTGCTTCAAACCATGGGCACAGGTAGAGAGAATGTATCCGAGAAAAGGATTCCAGAGTCCTCTTGCACGCTGATTCTACTGGCTTGAGATCAAACCCCTGAACTGGTATCCCCGCTCCATGGTGGTCTCCCTGAGCCCCTCTACAAATCTAGTCGTGTCACTCCCTCCCACCCATACATGTAGATTTTCCGTGGCCGCCCACTGCCCACAGATGACCTTCTAGCACCTCCTCTCTTGCCAAGGTCTCCCTCTACTTGCTACATGTAAGCCATATGGACCCTTCGCAATTCTAGAAATGTGGCAGATCCTTTCCTATCTTGGGCCCTTTGCAAACACAATCTCTCTGCCTGGAAACTTCCTCCCTTCCACATTTACAGAGCTCACCCCTGCCGAACCTTCAGGTGTCAGATGAAATATCGCCTCCTCCACCACACGTCCTCTGACACCCAATCCTAGGTCAGGTGTCTCCCTATCCCCAGGATTTCTCAGAGCCCCCTTCTGTCTCCCTACAGAGGGCTTCTCTTCACTTGCAACCAGCATCAGTCTGGGTGATGGTTCCTGGAGTGCCTGACTCTCCACAGACCATCGGTCCTCCGAGAGTAAGGACAGGGGTGTACCTGCCGTGCTTGCTGCTCTGTCCCCCGCACACAGAAGTAACTGCTCGAGAAATCACTGTCCAGTGAATGACTAAGCATCTCTGCTTATGTTTCAGTGGTCAAGCTGCTTCTCCAGTAGGAGTGTCCTTAGAGGCCCTGGCTCAGCGGGCAGCCCTGTGGCCCAGTCAGGAGATGAAGGACGTCCCAGAGCAGGGAGGCCCAGGGTTCCCCTTGCAGCTGGAAGGAAACTGGCTCCTTCCTTCTGCTTCTGAAATTGAGGGTTTGGGATTTCAACCTCAACAACGTAATACCACGTTTCCTTTCCTGTCACAGCCACAGAGCAACGCACAGAGCTGCGAGGCCTGCTGGGGGTGTTTGGCCTGTTTCGTTTCTCTAAGCTACATGAAAGCGAGAAAAAGACCAAAATAATTTTTTTTTTTCTATTTTACCCTGGAACAAAGTCAGTGATGGGAGAGGCAAGGGCTGTTTCTGCTTCCAGAAGGGAAGTCAGCTCTAGGGAGGCACTGGTTTATTTCGGTTTAGGAGGACACCTGCTACAGGGTCCCTGGCATGGCTCCATGGGACCTGGGCTGACAAGGGGCTGCATGCTTCCCCAGTGTCCTGGGCCTCCTGCATTCTCTGGGGGCCCTCAGAACAGGTTTCCAGACACCCAGGGCTGGGGGCTGAGACAGGGCCCCGCCACACTCAACCTGCATTTTTGTCCTTCAAAGTCGGAAGATGCCGACAAAGAACACTTCACTGTTCTTTGAAGTCCGTGTGTCCCTCTTGTGTTCTCCCGTAAACGCACCCAGAGGTCAGCTGTGGACTACACTAGGCAGATCACTCCACAAAACAGGAGACTGAAGCCCCCAGGGTGATACTTCTGGGAGGCACAGGACCCTCTTGGCCTTGTTCAGCTCAGGGCAGGCACTCAATGTCTGCTCAATGAATGCAGGAACATTTTCTCTGCCTCCAATGTTTACCCTTTTGTTTACTTTTTGTATAGGAATAGTAAAATCTTCAAAACATAAAATCTACCATAACAAAACTGGAACCATTTTGAAGCTGGCATATAGTTCAGGGGCATCAAGCACCTTCACAAGGTGGTGCAGGCATCACCACTACGAATAGTTCTGGAACGTCTTGATGACCCCACATGGAAACCCGTATCCATTAAGCAGTCCCTTGCCATTCTGCCCTCCCTCCAACTTGTAACCACCAATCTGCTGTCTGTCTCTCTGGATTTGCCTCTCGCATCAACGGACTCAGACAACGTGTGGTCTTTTGTGTCTGGCTTCTCTCACTAAGCGTCACCTTGTCAGCGTTCATCCACTCATAGCAGGTGTTACTGCTTCATTCCTCGTCACGGCCGAGTGTGGACAGCCTACGTTTTGTTCATTCACTTGTCAGGTGACAGACCTTGCACTGACTTTGGCCCGTGACTGACTTTATCCCTGGCGGCACGGGATCTGCCCAGCGCTATATGGGCTACCTGCCACAGGGTTAGTACTCAGGTGACAGACGTCGAACGAACAGGGCGGTGGCAGAGCTAGGCCCCCACCCCGGCCTTGTGACTCTTGGCTGACGGCTCTGCCCCACCCCAGGCATCTTGGGCCTCTGCCCACCTACCTGAAACCTGTGGGAGCTAAAGAGCTTCCTCAGTGTGGCCCTGAAGTCGAGGGGGGGCCGGGGCACGGGGATGGGGGCCGCCGTTGGGTCGGGGGCTCTGCCCTCCTCGCTGGACGCAGGTGCCGGCGATGTCTGCTCCTCCTCCTCGTCGTCCTCCTCGTTCTCCCACTTCTTGTAGTTGATGTTCCACGCATGGTAATCGTCCCCAACAACAGTGAAGTGCTTCAAGAACTTGCTCATCCTCTTGGCTGGAGCCACTTTGGCCCTGCGGGAGCTGGCCTAGAGAAAGGGGAAAGCGAGCCAGCGCTCAGGCAGGGAGGCCCTCAGAGCCCGTCCAGACCACTCGGACCGCACGCTGCTCTGGCAGGGAGCAGGGCCCAGGCTGGGCCAGGCCGCGGGGGTTAAAACAGCCCTGGCCCTCAGAGCACCATGCAGGCAGGGACAGTGAGGTCACGGTGGTTTCTTGTGCTTTTATTTTTAGAATCCAGGGTCTCAGTGCCGGTGAGGCAACAGGAAACCCCAGAACCCATCAGGCCTGTCACTATGGTCTGGTTGGCAATAACCAATGAAATTGGTACCGCAGCCCAGTCACAAAATACCCACCACGTGTAAATACCGGAAGAGCGGCCCCATGGTTCAGAGACATCACAACCTGAAAAACCGGAGGTGAGAGTTGGCGGGGCAGGGGTGTGGAAAGCCAAAAGTAAAAGTACCCAGAGTTTCACAGAAAAGTGAGGGCCGCCCCCTTCATGCCACAGATCGGTTCTTGAAATGTGAGTGGTAAATAGATTTTTCTAAGTGCACAGTGCTATTTTAAGTACACGATGGACAGTTGTTTAAAGGCAAGTGACTTCAAAGCAAAAAGCAAATAATCCTCCCTTTGCCCAACTGACCCTACCAGATATCAAATTTCCTCTAAAGTTCAATAATGAAAACTTCAGGGTATGGGTCCAAGAATGGGCAATATGATCAGTGGAACAGGAAAAAAGAGCCCAATCAGACCCATACCCCAGTAGGGAACTGGATGTGATGGTGGTGGCAGTACAGATCAATGGGAAAAGGCTGGAGAGGTCAGGACACCTGGCTTTCACGAGAGGAAACAAACAAAAAACATAAAAGATCCCTACCTCATACCCTACAGAGAATAAATTTCAGATGCATTAACCATAACATATATAAACTAAAACAAAACAAAACAAAAAACTTTAAAAGTCTTAGAACAAAAGATAGGCAAGTATCTTCATGACCTTCAAGTAGGGAAAGGTTGCTTAAATAAGACACAAAACAAATGGATAGATTTGATTCATCAAAACTAAAAGCTTTTATATTTCTCTCTCTCTCTCTCTCACACACACACACACACACACACACACACACCACACACACACCACACAAACCTAGAAAGACACACCACAGACTGGGTGTGACACATATTTGCAATGTACTTAAAAGACATTGTTTAGTGTCCAGTATAAAGAAATAATACAAACTAAAAAAAAAAAAAAAACAAAAAAACAAAACTCCCTTGAAAACTGGGCAATGGATATTAATAGGTGGGTCACCTAAAAGGAAACCCAAATGGCAGAGACACAACCTCACTAGGACTCAGGAAAATGTGAATGGCAAGAATTCTAAAGTCTGCAATAGCAAATGTTGGCAAAGATGCGAAGCAGTGGGGGCTCTTGAACACTGAACATAGGAATTGACGATGGCACCACCATTTTGGGAAACAATCTGGCACTGTTTTGTCAAGTTGAAGCTGTGCATATCTTTCTTAATAATCTAGTGATTCCATCCCTAGAAAGGCTCCACAGAGAAACACCGCTACATGTGCTCAAATCAGTAGCTTGTTCAGGAATGATCACTGAAAATGTTCACCTAAATGATGGGAGTTAGAGGAAGGAGCCTTCTCTCTTCACGTGATGGAATGCTAGACAGCAGTTAAAATGAACTGCATTACTATATTTCACTGATGACATCCACAGGTACCCACTTGGCAGCAGTGAACACAGTAGGTCACTGCTGCCCTCACTGGCTTCTGGGATTCCATATTCTCCTGGTTTTCCTCCCACCTCGATGGTTACTTTTTACCAGTCTCTTGCTGGATTCCATAAGAGGAAGACCCTACATTTAAGTATTGACATGCCCAGGGCTCAGGTGTCTCTTCTCCATACTCAGTTCCTAGGGGTTCTCATTCAGCAGCATAGCTTTAAAAGTCATCTGTACATGGATTATACAGAAACACTATCTCCAATCCCAATCTCAACTAAGGACATCCACCCTTAGTTACCTAAAAGTTATCTTATACCTAGCATGTTCAAAGCAGAATTATTCATTTGCCACCCAAAATGTCCCCATCTCAGTTTAGGGCATTTCATTTGTCTAGTTCCTTAGGCCAATAACTTTGGCATCATTCTTTAAATGTCTTTCTCCTCATTCAATACTGACCTAGCAGTAAGTTTTTTTGGCCCTCCCTGTAAACTACTTTCCAAGTAAGACCACTTCTCCCCCATCATTTCCTGCTATCTCTTGCCTGGATTGCTACAGCAGCCTCCCTACCTCCTCCCAATATCCATTCTTCATCCAGCAACTCGAAAGAACTTTCTCAAATATAAATGAGATCACATCATGCCCGTCCTTAAAACTTCCACGTTATTTTTTTTTTCAGCACCCTCATGCCTTCTTTCTGGAAATGGCTTCTCCCAGACATCTGCATGGTTCACACCTTCACTTGGTTCAGGCTTCCGCTCAAATATCATCTCTGCTGAGACCTGGTCTGGTTGCTCTTCCCCAGTCACACTGCATCCACTTACCCTGCTTCATTTTTCTTTTTTTAAGTAATCTCTAGACCCAATATGGGGCTCGAACTCACAACCCTGAGATCAAGAGTCTCATGCTCTACTGACTGAGCCAGTCAGGTGCCCCTCATTCTTCTTTATTGCACTTACTGGTGACATTATATATGAATTGTTTATCTGTTTATTATCTGCCTATATCCCCGCCCCCAGACTCTAAGCTCCATGAGAGTGGAACTTTTTCCATCTTGTTCAAATTGCCTACCCAGTGTCTTGTACTTAATACACACTCTAAAACACCCAAATATGTAAGTGACTAAATGAATACATAAATGTGGATAGGTCTTTACAAATACGTTGGGGGCACATGACAGGTCATGAGATCAAGCCCCACATCGGGCTTTGCACTCAGTGGGGAGTCTACTTAAAGATTCTATCCCTCTGCCCCTCCCTGTGCACATGCACACACGTTCTCTCTCTAATAAATCTTTTATTTTTTTATTATTATTTTTTAAAGATTTTATTTATTCATTTGCGAGAGAGACAGAGAACAAGCAGGGGGAGAGGCAGAGGGAGAGGGAGAAGCAGGCTCCCCGCTGAGCAGGGAGCCCAATGCGGGACTCGATCCCAGAACCCTGGGATCATGACCTGAGCCTAAGGCAGACGCTTAACCATCTGAGCCACCCAGGCACCCATAAATAAATCTTTTAGAAAAATTAAAAATATGTTGAGTTTAAAAGGAAGATATAGAAGAATATGAATATAATACCACTTAAGTAAAAATTTAAAAATACATGCAAAATATTACTACATGCTGTTTTGGGAATGTGTAAAATGGAAGTGTAAACATACAAAAGAAGGGGATTTCTGCTTCTGGTCATGATAGAGTAACTGGCAGCAGATTAGTCCTCTTGCCATAAAACAAAACAAAACAAAACAAAAAACTATAGAACTGGATAAAATGCATGAAATTTACGGTGGTCCCTGAGAGAAGAGAAACAGATGCGGTGAGCCCCCACACTCACCCTGGCTTTCTGCCTAGAGGTACTTTCTGGACTATGGCAGCAAGGCTATTGAGCCTCTCTCCCTCAAGAATTTGCATGGCAAAGTACCTGAGAAAAGGAAGCTCTGCAGAGAAGGAACTCCAAAAATCCAACTTTGGCTGAATTCTAAACAGCCAGAGATGACACAAGGCTGGGTTAGGAGATGTATGAGTTCCAAACATCCAGAATAGAGATGTCTTGTTAAACACTCTGAGCATTCAGTCGAAATTCCAGAAAGGTCATGCCTTATTAGGAGACATAATCTAGCCCTATAGTAAGAACTACCTTAGACCTGTCCCAAATACACTTGGGGGGGGGGATGGGTTAGCCTGGTAGTGGGTATTAAGGAGGGCAGGTACTGAATGGAGCACTGGGTGTTATACGCAAACAATCATGGAACACTACATCAAAAACTAATATTGTAATGTATGGTGACTAACATAATAAAATAAAAAAAGAAATGTCAAAAAAAAAAAAAAAAAAAAGAAATAAAAAAAAAAAAAAAAAAAAAGCCTTGAAAAGATCAAGCAGATTCCCAGGTAAATTGACTGCCTGTTGGAACAAAACTCAAATTCCACTAGGGAGGACAACAAAATACACTCAACAGTGTAGCATTTACAAATGTATAGCATACAATAAAAAATTACTAGACAGATAAAGCAGAAAAACTTGGCCCATAACCACTAGAAACACTAGCTTACCAAAATGGACAGAGATAATAGAACTGGCCAACAAAGACTTGTAAATAGCTATTAGAAATATGTTCAAGGATTTCAAAGAAAATATGAGCTTAATGAGAGAACAAATAGAGAATCTTAATAGAGAAATGGAAACTGTAAAAAAGAAAAAAAATCCAAATGGGCTCAAAGCTGATTAGATACTGCAGTACAAAAGATCAGTGAATTTAAAGACAGAGCACTCATCAAGTGGAAACATGGTGAGAAAAAAGGCAGGGAAAAAAACCCAGAGCCTTAGGGACAATATCAAGTGGTCTAATGTACACGTACGTACCTAGGATACCAAAAGATGAGAGAGAGATTGGGGCAGAAAAATTTAGAGAAATAATGGACTTTAAAAATTTCAAAATTTGATGGAAAAATATAAACATGTAGATCCAAGAAGCTCAATGAACACCACGGAGGACAAACATAAAAATGAATGGACTAGAAAGAGACACCAAATTCATGATGGTGGTTGCCCTTAGGGAGGGGTAAGGGCTAAAAACGGAAGGGGTCAAAAAGCACTTGAGTGCTATCTGAAAAACATCTTTTTAAATCACACAAAGATTTGAGGAAAATAGGACAAAATGTTAATAGCTGTCAATTTAGGATGATTATATAAGTACTTGGTAATGTTTGTATTCTTTTTTTTTATTAGGATTTTATTTATTTGAAAGAGCGAGCGAGCAAGAGGAGGGGGGCGGAGGGAG